TCCTGGTAATTACATAAGGTTAATGAAGCACCTGCCTGAAGGAGATTTTGTTGTGGAGATGGAACACAGCACAAAGAAATGGCCTTTCTATTTCACTTAGATGGTGTCCCTTGTTTTTACCAATGACAAGGCCAGAAACAAACTTTTCAAATACCTGTACCCTGTGCCATAAACGATCAGCACGACTGGTGAGTAGGATCAAAACACTTGGAAACCAATCAATTTTTCCTTAAATGTTTCTCCCTCCTCCAGGCCTATGATCTTTGAGCCGTAGCCAGCTGGTCAGCACACAACTTGTCCTATATTGTCTTTCTCAGAACTGGATGCCTCTGGGGGAACAATCTGTCTGAGATGTGATTTGGCCCTCCCCCACCACTCCCTCCTACCTTTTTTCTAATCTTGTTCCTCCACTGGAAAAAGCCCTTTTTGGTCAAATCTTTGAGACACTTGCAAGTTTATACAGTTAGGACTTCCTTTATTGCCATACTCCTTTCAAATAAAGCAGAATTTCATTTAAGAAGATGTCAAGAATGGGGGCCGGCATTGCTGTGTGGTAGGAAAAGCCACCACCTGCAACGCTGGCATCCCATATGGGCACCAGTTCAAGTCTGGCTCCTCCACTTCTGATCCAGATCCTTGCTAACGAGCATGGGAAAAACAGAAGATGGCCCAAGTGCTTGGGCCCCTGAACCCATGTGGGAGACCAGGAAGAAGCTCCTGGCTCCTGGTTCTGGCCTGGCCCAGCCCTGGCCATTGAAGCCATTTGGGGAGTGAATCAGCAGAAGGAAAACTGACTGTCTCCCTCTCTTTCTCTCTGTAACTCTACCTTTTGATAAATAAAAAATAAATTAAAAAAAAAAAAGAAAAATGTCAGAACAGAGCCCTAGGACAGTAACAAGCACAACCTCAGAGAAGCAACAAGTCATCCTTCCACTCCAACCATACAGGTTTGTGGATGTCTTGCTTCCCAGGGTTGTCTCAGTATCATGGATTCCTTGTGTGCTAGACATGAGAAGGCTGGGATTTCCCTTTTAGGGAAGGTTCCTTGAAAGCAACAACTGGGCCTGCCACACCTTCTCTTTGCAAGCTCAAGTCTGCCCTTGGCTTGTAGTCAATGGTCTTCAAACAGAAAACACCCAGCAGTCGAAAAATCTTTCAAAACCGATCACACTCTTTATATTTTGGAAACAAACAGTAAACCACTTTATTTTACATCTGAGTGGGAGAAGCACAAAGATCTATCCCTTTCAGACAATAAAGATGTCATTCTTTGTTGGGGTCTTAAGCCTGAGACTGTCCCCTGACCAGCAGGGGGCAGTACAAGCACTCCCCAACAAGGCCAACGGGAGAGGTAAGATCGACGGGTCAAGCACACCACAGCAAGCACCCGTGAGTTCTGTCGAAGCAGGAACCGTTTTATTGAGGAAGTGTACAGGCTTATAAAGCTTATGAATAGCATGTACAGTAGGAGAGGCAATCAGCAAAAGGTCACGCACGCACGGGTGGACCACACGCAGGGGCACCTTAAGCGAGGTATAGGGATCATGCACTGTCCACGTGTCCGGAAATAAATCAGACCTATCCCTACAGGTGGCCCGATCTCGCACAGTTTAACCACAGCAGCCGCAGACATGCCCCCCAATCATCCGCCAGGCGCCATGTTGTTAGGGACTATTTTAGGCAATGCCCAACAATTCTTAATTACTTGCATCATGACAAATAGTTTGGGGGATAATTAATTACATTTTAACACTTCTGTTTAATCTCAAAAGCAAGTACCAGAAGAGACAACAGCGTTACTCACCATCCCAAGTTCTTCGGCCTGAAAAGCAGATGGAATGAGATTTTCTGTAATGTCTGTAATTTGCCAACTATCTGCACCGCACAAGCACAATGTCTCCCAGGAACGGACACCTTGGTTGCTAGAAGAAGAGTCTAACGTTCTAAGGGGTTAGGTTTTTACAGTATATATATATATATTTTTTTTTTTGACAGGCAGAGTGGACAGTGAGAGACAGAGAGAAAGGTCTTCCTTTGCCATTGGTTCACCCTCAAATGGCCGCTGCGGCCGGCGCACTGCGCTGATCCGATGGCAGGAGCCAGGTGCTTCTCCTGGTCTCCCATGGGGTGCAGGGCCCAAGCACTCGGGCCATCCTCCACTGCACTCCCTGGCCACAGCAGAGAGCTGGCCTGGAAGGGGGGCAACCGGGACAGAATCCGGCACCCAGACCGGGACTAGAACCCAGTGTGTCGGCGCCGCAAGGTGGAGGATTAGCCTAGTGAGCCGCGGCGCCGGCCAGGTTTTTACAGTATTTTTTAAGGATCCATTTGTTTGAAAGGCAGTTAGAGAGAGAGAGAGAATCATCCATCCACTAATTCACTCCCTAAATGGACCCACCTGCTGGGGCTAGGTCTTTAGATGACCGCTCAAGGTCAGGGCAGCCAGCTGCTTGTCTGGGCTGCCCCATCCTCATCCCTCAGCCTGACCTTGGGACAAGCGTACAAGGTGGCGTTCAATACACACCACGAAGGCAGCTGTGGCATTGTGGGTCAACCCCACCCCGGGGCCAGAGGGACCTCAATCCAAAGACATCCCAGGAAGATGTCCACAGTTAAAGAAGACAAAGGGAGAGGCACAAACTTCTTGTAACATCAGATTCTCAGGCTCACCGGCCTGTGGAGTTTGTCATTAGCAACAAAAACTGGGCTAGGACACGGCGGAAGGGCGTCGCCGAGAGGTCAGTGACCTGCGCTGGAGCCACTGCCGCCCACCCGGCCCCTGGGGACCCTCCCGACGCCCCTGCCGCGGCGGCGTCACCACAGCCCGCGGGACAGGCGGCTCTGAGGGCCGGACGCGGGGCCAGAACACGGGTCCCCAGGGCCGCACCGGAGCCCGCGGCTGACTCCCTGAGGCAGGCCCGCGGCCCGGCCCGGCCCGGCCCACAGACAGCTCCTCAGGGTGCTGAGGGTGAAATCTCGCCGTTTCCGGGTTTTCACGTCATTCCGGTAGCTCCGAGGCGCCACCTCAGGACCCTGGGAAACAGCCTGAGCCAGGAGCCTCCCAACCGGAAGAGCCCGCCCACCCCCAGGCCGCCGTAGCGCTATTCCAGCGTCTGATTGGGTGGTTCTCAAGCCCGCCCTCCTGTCTGATTGGCTAGTGACCCTGAGGCCTGACAGATTGGGGAAGCGATTCTCCACTTGACCAAGGGGAAGAGAAATGTGGCGCTCTTCCAGCGCATGACTGGGCAGTTCTCGAAGTCCCGCCCTCCTGCCCGATTGGCTACTGACCCAGGCACGCCCCCAGGGCCCAGACTGATGGAGGAGGCCGTCCTCTGCTTGCCTGTGGAGTGGAAGTGATGATTCCGCGTGTAGCCTTTCCTAGGCGGGGCTTCCTCTACATATCTTTTATCGTTAATAGCTATTTATTTTATTTTAAGGTTTCTTTATTTATTTGAAAGGCGAAGTTACTGAGGGAGAGAGAGAGAGTGAGAGAGAGAGAGGTCTTCCATCCACTGATTCACTCCCCAGTTGGCCGCAAAGGCTGGAGCTGTGCTGATGCGAAGCCAGCAGCCAGGAGCTTCTTCCTTGTCTCCCACGCAGGTGCAGGGGACAAGGACTTGGGCCATCTTCTACTGCTTTCCCAGGCCATGGGAGACCGGAAGTGGAGCAGCCAGGGCTAACACGGCAGATAGGTGCAGGGAGTCCTCCTCAGGCCTCACTTGCAACTGAGCCTGTGCCTCCCTCAAGAGGGAAACTGAGATAACAGAGAAGCACCAAGGCCCAGTAGGACCGAGCTGGAGTAGGATGCCTCATCCTCCATGACCGGCCTCCCTCGCTGGCCCATGCCACACAGGCCAGTTGGATGCACATCGTAAAATGCTACAGGGCCACAAATTCCCACTTTTTCCCCTGGCTTCCCTGTCTGCCTGGGGAAAGAGCGGACTAAGAAGCATTTGCAGGTGGTGCATCCAAACTGACCCCCAAGCATAACGGGGCCTGGAGAGTGACACCCCATAGAGGGAGACCTAGAAATCTCACCCTGCAATGGCGCCCACACAGGAACAGGGCTGGGAACCCCCTCCTCCCCAGCCCCATGTCATCCCACACCCCAACGTTGACTCTAAGTCCAAACACTGTTCTCCCCGTGGACCGCAGGTAGGCCTGGGATGTCCACTCTCATCCATAAGCCATCGGGGGTCTCGCACATTGTGCTGACAGCAGATATCAGCTCCTTTTCACCACAAACGTCAGGTTGAGTCTCGGCATCTCTTTCCTTCCTTCCTGACAAATGCCCAGGGCACGCCAGCCTCTGCCTCTACCTCCCTGCAGGCCCACAGCTCCAGCCCAGTCTGTCTGAAACCTCCCACTGGGACCTGCTACTGGTTCTGTCTCCCTCACCAGGACCTCGTCTCGCAACCTCACCCCCCACCATGGCCGGGTCAGGAAGGGCGGGGGTTCCCTGAGCCCAGGTCCAGCACAGGCTCCTCCCTTGGAGGCTGCTTAAGACAGTTGTGCCAGGGCCTGTGTGGAGGGAGAAGCAAAGCAAGAGGTGGGAAGAAAGAGATGGGTGTGGCTGGGGGCTGCAGACAGGTCATGGGTGAGCACTGACCAGCAAGGGACCTCCCTTCAGGAGGCTGAGCTGGGGGGACCAGCACTGTGGCACAGTGGGTTCAGCCACTGTTTCTCAGACCGGCATCTCATATATAGGAGTGAGGGTTCGAGTCCAGGCCGATCCACGTCTGATCTCATTTCCTGCTAATGCAACTGGAAAGGTAAGAGATACTGGTCCAAAGACTTGGGTTCCTCACACCTCTGTGGGAGACCTGGCTAGAGACCTGGGAACAGGGCTTTAGCCATGATCAGCTTGGCTCTTAAGGCCATTTGGAGAGTGAACCAGTGGATGGAAGACACTGCTCTCTCTCTCTCTCTCTCTCTCTCTCTCACTCATTCCACTTTTCAAATAAATTAATAAATCTTTAAGGAAAGAAGAAAGAAAAGAAACCTCAGCTAGGCTTAGGTGACCTTTCTAGATCATGCACTCTATCTCTCTCCAAAAGATACCACAACCAGTCCCACGGTGACCCGAGCCTTCACAGTGCCATTTTAATGGTTTTCAAGGTGGTGGCAGCAGTAGCAACAAGGGGAAAAGGGGGGAGTCTGACTCTTCCCCAGGGCAGAGAGTTCAGGCTTGTAAAGGGGCATCCCTGGGGGTCCAGGCATCTTCTTTCCACTGGACCGAGGCCACAAAGGTGCGGATCTCCATGGGCTGCAGCGTGATGGTGGCCAGGTCCAGAGGGGGCACCTTGGGGGTGGGGACAGGGCCTGGTAACGCATGTGTGGAGCCAGGAGTGAGGGTAGTAACTTCCTCAACCACTGCACACCCTCCCCTGAGCTGACCACACTGTGCACCTCCAGATGTGTCCCCAGAGCTCACTCCTGGACCTTCAAGTACTTCCGCCTGGGCCGATACACCACACAAATCCTCACCAATGCCTGGCTGTCACCCTCACACCCTCAAAGCAACCCCAGAACTGGACACCCATGGAGAGCCTGGGATCTCTGCTCCTGAGAACGAATGCTCAAGCCCTCGTGACCTACTGCTCATGTGCTGAACCCACTTTGGACCCTGAAGCCCCGAGCCTGGATCTGCCCAGGGTCCTCAGGTTCTATACTGGATCCTGGCCCACATTCCCATGCTTCATACACTGTGCCCAGCTGCCAACCCCAGGCAGGAGCCCACCCCTCCCATGCGAGGTGCCCACCGGTGTCTGGTGTCCACTTGAGCCTGGAGGTGCTGGCCCGGGGCTGGTTGGCTGCCAGCGTGGTCTCCTGCAGGTGGGTGATGGTGAAGGTGGAGAACAGGTTCTGTGGGAACCGTGGTCGGGACCTGATCAGTGGGGGCCAAGGTGGCTTCCCCACCCCCCACTTCGTCTCTCACTCGCGTCCATTTCCTGTTTTTCTCCCACCTTCTCCTAACCTGCAAATTCAAGGTCACGGGGGAGCTCAAGTTGCAGCCTGAGTCCTCCCCCCTGGCGAACTGGTGCTCCAAGCGCAGCAGCAATTTGTCTGGGCCCCAGCGGGCCAGGGTGAGCAGGTGCACGGAGGGCGGGAGCTCCCGGCGCAGCCCTGAGAACTGCGGGGAGACGGAGGTGGGGCTGAGTCAGAGTGGGGGGGGGGCTTGGGGAAAAGGGGCGGGGCCCTCCAGGACTGACCAGTAATCCCCACTTGGGGGTTGGTCCCAGCTGTGGGGGTCCAAGTCCAGAAATGGCCAAACTGATCTGATCAGAGTGCTGATGGAGCTAGGGCAGGGCTGAAGGACCTGAGATGCGGTGCCCCAGGGGAGGGGAGGACAGGGCAGATGAGAATTGAGACCCAGCAGAACCAAAGCTTGGAAGCTTTGAAGAGACTGGAGCTGGGGCTGTGCCCCGCCCACAGGAGCTGGGTAAGGACTTGGCAGGTCCTGGGCAGGCGCCACCTCAGGAGCTGACCTAGCGTATGGACTCCTGAGGGTGATGAAGATGGGTTCCAGGTGAGCCAAGGACAACCTGATCCTAGGCCAGGTCTCCCACTCTGCCATGCTGCATGCTACCTGTGTGCGCCGAGCATGTCCGGGTTGCTGGGGGGTGCCGCCACCCGGGGCCAGCACCACCTGCGGGGACAGGGCCTCTTTCTCTGCCAGCAGCCGGTGCCCTGCGGCCACCTTGCCCACTGCGTCCAGCAGCACGAGGTGGCGCCCTCGCACCCATGACCCCGAGCCCTCCTCCAGCAGCGGCTCCCCGAGTCCACGGTTATCATCCAGCAGCAGCCTGCAGTGCACCTGGGAGGGGATGGGGAGCCAGGAGGGGGTGAAGGGGCAGCTGGTGTCCTTGTCCTGTGTCCCGCAGGGAACCAGCCAGGGACCTGGGGGAGGACTCTACCTTGGCTGTGGCTCCCCCTACCACCACTCACCATGAGCTCCAGGGAGCCGTCCTGCAGGCTGCTGCCTCCCTGTGAGCGATCCGTCAGCACCGTCAGCTGCTTCTTCCCGTCCTGGGGGGCGGGGTGAGTGTGAGGGTGGGGTGGGGAGCCAGTCCCAGCCCCAAGCACCTGGGAGATGCCGCCAGTGAGGGGCACTCCCCATTCTGTACCCGGGGAGGCGCGGGGTGAGGGAGGGTACCGTGATGTAAATTCGAGTGTTGACTGGATAGTAGTTCCCCGCCACTGGCTCTGTCTGGTTCAAGTTCCAGGTGGGCCGATAATTCCTCCTGGGGGATGGAGGTCACCTGGTCAGGCTGGGGGACCGGCTCCCCCACTCTGCTCTCTCTCTTCTTCCTGTCCCTCCCACATTCACACCATCAGCCAGCACCCCCACCCCTGGGCCCCCACACATCACCACTGCCCCGCGGGTGCCCTGCGTCCCCATCACCTCCTCTTCAGGATCTCCCGGCCATTGCTGTCCGTGTAGAAGTAGCCCTTGGTGTCCAGCGGTGTGTCGAAGCGACTGATCACTTCCTTCCCCCACTTGTCACTGTACCCAATGGGACAGCAAGCTCGTGAGCCTCCTCTAAACTCACTCTGGGGGCGGTGTTGGGGGCAGTGGCTAAGACGCCAGTTGGGACGCCACCACCCGTATCACAGTGCCTGGGCCTGAGTCCCAGCTGTGCTCCTGCTTCCTGCTTCCTGCCTCTGTTGATGCAGACCCCGAGAGACAGCAGTGACAGTGACAGCCCTGCCACCAACATGGGGGACCAGGTTGAGCTACCAGCTCTGTAGTGAATTTGGGGAGTGAACACGAGGATGGGCAGAATCAGTCTCTCTGTATGAACCAGTGGATGAGACATCTACGACTCTCTCCATCTCTCTTTGTTGCAAGTAATTAAACTTTACTCTCACTCCCAGCCCCAGTCCCAGTCCCAGTCTAAGCACTCACTCCTCAGGGATGGGCCCCACCGTCCATTCCAGCTCCAGGTGGCACTGTCCGCGGTACAGGCGAACCACCTGGGAACACCAGGCTGAGAAGTTCTGGTGCACCTCCTGCACCAAGGGCGTCTGAGGACACACAGGGCAGAGGGCGGGGCTCAGCCCAGCCTTGGGCAGAGGGGAGGCGTGCAAATGCCCCCTGCTGTGAACCCTCCAGAAGCTTCCATCAGGACAATCCCTCTACCAGCACAGGAATCCCATCCATCACCCCTCCTGCATGGATGTGAAGTCCACACATCCCACTCAGTCCCTGACACAGAAGTCTTGAGTGGGGCCCGTGTGCTTGCTGCCACCACTGCCCCATCTGCCCTCCCTACAGCAGAGTTCTAGCAGGGTGTGTGGGTCCTGGTTGTGGGCTCTGCTGATAATGGGGCTCAGCCTGCCCCATGGAACGTCGTCAGTGTGGGGTAAAACATGTCGCTTGCCCCTTTCCTCCTCCTGCAGGTTCAATGGCAGGGGTCATGGCTGGAGGCTGAGCAGCCATGTTGGACCATGGGGAAGCTGTGTGTTGATGAAGGTGGTGTAACGAGATAGAAGGGGCCTGGGTGACTGTGGAACCACCCCTCCTTCCCCAGATGGACCAGCCTGACTTCCTGTTGGACAGCAATGATCATCTGTCTTGACTTGGGCACAGTTGACGTGGCTAATCTGTTACAACGGGCAAAGCTGTCTGCTAACCCAGTGACCTGAGCAGGAAGACGAGCACTTCAAGAGCAACAACATCACACATCAGGCTCCTGAGTGAGCACGAACGTGCGTCTCGCCATCATCTTTCGTTCTCCCACACTAAGAGAAGCTAAGTGAGAAGCCTGGGAAAACACCCATCCCAGTAGACCCCTACCCTACAGGAGACTCAAGTCTCCAGCCTCCATGTCAACTGCTCTTTGCATAGAACTCGGTGCCCTCCGCAAGTAGCTAGAGTTGGCTCTCCCCACTCACGGGCCATGTGGGAACACCCCAGCCAGGGTTCCTAATGCTAAGTGTCATCCTGACACCACAGCAGACACAAACGCCTTCCATGTGCTTCCCCAGGACACAGAGCAGCCCGGAACATCAGCCCTTGGGGGGACCCCCCAGTATTCCCCTTAGGTCTTAGCCTCTTACCTGGAGGAGGAGGGAATCCTCTCCTCTCTGCACTTCCCACCCGGCATGCCTGACACTCTCCCAGCTCCCACCCGACCCCCGTCCCCACTCCCCACTCATAATTCCTGGCCCCATACCTTCAGCAGGTGGATCTGAGCTGAGCTGTTCACGGGCAGCTGCATTCCATCGGTACTAAGGATGTAGGCTTCAGAGAGCTGATGGTCTTGTATGTGAGGTGTACTGGCGTCATACCTGCCGTCAGGGCAGCCGAGAGTCAGGAAAGGGGCGCCAGCTTTCTGCACCCCCTCTCTGGCCTCCTGAGCCCCCTCACCAGAAAAATGACTGGCTCACGGGCAGCACGAGTTGCTTCTCCAGGTCTTCAATCTGCATCAAGAAACCCGTCTTGGGGTTGAATGTAGCCTGGATATACTGGGCGGAAAATAGTGGCACCACGTGAATGACCATGGCTTCAGCCAATGGCAGCTCCATTCTTCCTGGAGCTCAGCACAACACCCTACAGTCTCCCCTCACCCCTCACTCTCTCTCTCCTCGCACTTGATCCCATTAGAGACTCCTACCAGCTCTACCTCGTCACCCCCATGGCCCTGCAGCACTCACATGGTTAACCCCATCCAGGTCCCACTCTTTGATGTTCACGTCCCACACTCTGTCCCCTACAACTGAGGGCACCGGGGACATCCCAATTTGTCTGCTTCAGACCAAAGCCGATGCATGCAGCTGACACGGGGACCATGATGCCAGCTCCCACAGAAATATTTTCATTTCTGTCAGAATCAAAAGAAAACCTCAAGACAACACTACCAAATGTATTCAAGGAAGCTTTCTTGGGTAGCATTTATCTTTATGCCACACTCTCATAAAGTAATATTTCTAACTTTTGTATGGAAATGGGGTCCCATAATCCTTTGTTTTTCAAACCCATGATACTGTTCATGCAGCCATGCCCTGCCCCTGGCTCCTTCACAGTAAAGCCATGCTCATCCAGATCCTCCCAGCCTGGCCTGTTCCCTTCTCACTGTGGGTCGACCACAGCAGGACCCTTCTGCGTCCTTGAATAACAAGTGGCTCTCTTTGCCTGTCTGGATTCCTCTGCTATCAAACAGCCAAAGGGCCCCCTCTCTCAGGTCTCACTTCACCTCCCACCTACTCTGGAAGGCATTAAAGGCCATGCCCTCCCCCTAAAATTGCCAACCTCCTGGGCACACACCTGCCTAGCATGTCACAGTGTTGGGTAATAGCATTGGGCTCCTTGCCAACCACTTGGAAGAACGGGATTAAGTCCCAGCTCCCAGCTTCAGCCAGGTTCCAGGCAGTGTGGGTATTTGGAAGAGTGAATTAGGAGATGGAATCTCTGTCTTTCTCTCTCTCCCTCCTTCCCTTCCTCTCTCTGCCCTTCCTCTCAAACACCTGAATAGGTTTACTTTTTAAGAACATTTATTTATTTTATTATTTGAAAGGCAGAGTTAGAGAGACAGAGGCAGAGAGAGAGAGAGAGAGAGAGAGAAAGGTCTTCCAACCACTGGTTCACTCCCCACAATAGTCAAATCCCCTACAATGGCTGGAGGTATGCCGATATGAAGCCAAGAGCCAGGAGCTTCTTCTGGGTCTCCCACGCAGGTGCAGGGGCCCAAGGACTTGGGCCATCTACTACTGTTTTCCCAGGCCATAGCAGAGACCTGAATTGGAAGTGGAGCAGCCAGGATGCAAACTGGCGCCCATATGGGATGCCGGCACTGCAGGTAGCAGCTGTGCCAGCTAAGCCACAATGTTGGCTCCTGAATATGTTAATTTTAAAACACCCATATGCGGGAGCAGCCCTGTGGTACAGTAGATAAAGCCATCATCTGTGGCACTGACATCACACATGGGGGCCAGTTTAATTCCTGGCTTACTTACTTACTTATTTACTTACTTAATATTTATGAGAGTTACAGACAGTAAAAGGAAGAGACAGAGAGGTCTTGCATCTGCTAGTTCACTCCCCAAATGTTCGCAATAGTCGGAGCTGTGCCAATCTGAAGCCAGGAGCCAGGAGTTTCTTCTGGGTCTCCCATGCAGGTGCAGGGTCCCAAGGACTTGGGCCATCTTCTACTGCTTTACTGGGCCATAGCAGAGAGCTGTATAGGAAGTGGAGCAGCCAGGACTTGAACTGGTGCCCATATGGGATGCTGGCACAGCAGGTGGAGGATTAACCTACTGCACTCCTGGCTGCTCCACTTCTAATCCAACTCCATGCTAATGTGTCTGGGAAAGCAGTGGAAGACGGCTCAAGTCCTTGGGCCCCCAAGCCCAGCTGGGAGAATAGGAAGAAGCTCCTGGATCCTGGCTTCAAATTGGCCCAGATCCAGCCATGGCAGCCATCTGGGAGTGACCCAGCAGATGTAATCTCTGCCTCTCTCAGTCTCCATTGTCTCTCTCTCTAACTCTGCCTTCGAAATAAATAAATAAATACATATTAAAACACACATTTTTTGAAATATCTGTCATGTGTCCCACAATGTCACACCGCATCCTCCCAGGACACCTAGGAGAGGACACTGAGGCTCACATCAAGGTCATTCACTCAAGGTCACACCATCAGGGCAGTGAGGTGATGGCAGACCACAAACCCAGGCACCGCCAACCCAGAACCTGCACAGCTCAGGGCAAAGTATCAAAATGGAAACTCACCTTGTTTCTGATGATGACACCCGGCCTGGGCTTCTGGGGGATGCACCGGGGGAAGTGGCCCTGGTGTTTCTGCTGAGACACCACTGCTACGGAGTAGATGCTGAAGCCCAGGGCCGGCACCGAGGCAGAGAACAGCAGCTCTGGGCTGGGCTTCTGTCCCTCTGGTTGGGGAAGCAGCAGCACCTCGGGGAAGGGAGGGGGGAAGCTGAGCCAAGAGGCTGTGGGTGTGCACAGAAACCATCACACGCAGTACAGCAGGAAGCAAACTCGAGGAGGGGAGGGAGTCCTGGGGAGGGAGGAGAGAGACGGGGGAGGCAATGGAGGGAGGAAGGACTGCAGGGGAGGAGGAGGCTCAAGGGGGGAGGCCGTCTGGGAGGCAGGGGCTCTCCAGAAACACGGAGGAAATGTCCTGGGGGGATTAAAGGGGACCACTCGGGTGGGAGAGATGCTCCGAGGGGGGCTGATGCTAAGGGCCAGAGCGGGCAGAGATCTGCAGGGACAGGAGGGGACCACGAGGGGGAGGGGCGTGCCCATGGGTGTCCTCGGGTGACAGTCCCTGAAGGGGCTCACATCGCTGGGCACCGCGTGGCCACTGGGGTCCTTCACGAGGAAAGCGCCTGCACTGACCGGCAGCCGCACCATGCGGTCCACCTTCCGGGCCAGGGGGTTGTAAATGGCGACCTGGAACTGGGGGAGAGGGACAGGCAGGGCGGGGGTCACAGCACGCATTCTCCAAACCTTGGGTGGTGACATCCCTGGTGACCCCGGTGTGGTTACCAACCTCCTCCTTGGTCTCTGTCCTGCCCTGGCGTAGCAGATCCTCAGGATATCTCACCCCAGAAGGGTGGAACGTACAAATTACCTAACCTGCCCTGCAAGAGCCATCAGCTGCAGCACTGGCTCCTCTTCCGTGCGCCCACCACCTGTGGGGTCACCTCCCCCTGGGCCCCGCCCCCGGCACCTGCCTCCCGCCCCGCCCCCACCCGGCTCACGCGCGCCGACGTCTGGCTGAGCGGGCAGACGCTGATGTTGAGCTCCGGGCAGATGGAGAAAGCCTCCTGGGAGCCGCTGAGCCGCGCCAGGGCGTTGCTCAGGAGAACCTGGGGGGCAGCGCCACGGGGCGGCCTCGCTCTAAAGGCCCACCCGGGTCTCCTTTCACTCTGGCAGTACAGCACCCCCATATCGCATTCCTGGCCCTGTCTCCCAGGTGGTGACACCCGCCCACCTTTCTGTGTTAATTTGTTTGTTCTATGTTAATTTTCTATGTTAATTTGCAGACGCCCTTGTCCCACCCCTTTATCTCATTGCATTCACTCCCAGCCCCAGCAGAGCTCACTGCCCATCCGCACTGCACCCACGCCCTAGCCTTCACCTTGTTCCTGCCTCTCCCCGCACCCTCCAGTCTGAGGCCTGGCCCCTTCACGTCTCCACTCCCTCCTCTCCAAGGCCCCACCCCTCCCACCTTGCAGGGCCTCCAGCCCGCAGCAAGCTGGCGCGCATAGTCGTCTACCACCTGCTGGCTGGAGGTGCCACTGACCGCTTGGTGGTTCTGAAGCACCGCCATGGCTTTATCTGCGGACCCCAAGAAGACAAAAAGGCCCCGTATGGGAGGAAATCTTAAGGAGGTTAATAGGGGGCTTGAGGGGCCAGCCCAGGGCTGGGTCCCACCTGCAGCCCCTCTCCCGTCCCCACCCCCGCGCCGGCCGACCCCTACCTAGGGGAGCGCTGTCTCCCGACCCATAGGGCCCCACGTTGGCCGCCGGGCCCGCCAGCGCCTCCAGCTGCTTGCACACCTGGGGAGCAGTGCACAAGTTCAGGCTCCTGGTCTAAGGGGCCTCCAGGCTGCCCCCTCCCGCCGGCGCCGCCCACCTGCAGGAAGTTGTAGCTGACGCGCTCATAGCGCTTGAGGGCCGGCCGGCTGGAGAAGTAGCCGGTCCAGAACTGGTGGGGGCCATCGGCGTATGGGAAGAAGTCGTCCTCCTTCAGCGACCTGCGCGGGCGGAGAGGGCGGGGTCACGAGGCGTGGGGCACGCCAACCCCCAGCCCCCCGGGGCCCCCAAATACCAGGTGAGGTTGGCCTTGTTCAGCTCCCAGAGGTAACAGGCGGGGGTGGAGTAGAGCACGTGGACGCGGCTCCCCTTTGCCTGCTGCTGGGGGGAGGGGAGTGGGTGAGCCTCGGGGACAGCGCTGTGTCCCCGGAACCCACAGCTGCGCACATCCGGTCGGCTCCGGTGCTAAGTCAATGGTGCACCTTCTGAGTGCACCATTGCTCAGGTGTGAAACTGATTTTGGTCAAATCCAAACATTAGCATCCTTGGCAGGATTCTTGGATGATGCAAGAATTTTATTAAACCTTTGCAATAATTCAAATTTTACTATGAGAATTGTTCATGGGAGAACAAAATGTGACCTTATGAGGCAGGAATATCATTTTCAGCCTTGTCAAGTTGTTTCTAAAAGCCAGTTTTGTTCACCCTTAACTTAGGGAGGTGAGCGAACAAGAAGGTGATATGCATGAGGAACAAAGATGTTCTGCAGTGCTGTGTCCCCAGTATACACAGTAGGCACTCAACAAACATTTCAGTGAACCAAGAGCTGTGCATCCAAATGTCTACACACATCCATTCATACATGCCTACAGTTGGCCTTCACTATCCATAGGAGATTGGTTTCTGGTTGCCCACAAGATACAGAAAGCCACAGATCACAAGTCTCTTATGTCTACTGCATAGTATTTACATAGAGCCTATGCAATCCTTCCATAGATACATTATGTTTCCTTAAAAGATGTATGTATGATGGGGGGGGGAGAGAGAGAGAGAAATGTCCATTTGCTGGTTCACTCCCCCAAGTGGCCTCAGTGGCTGGGGCTGGCACAGGCTGAAGTCAGGATCCTGGAACTTATCCACCCATGGAAAGCACCCATGGCTGCATTAGCAAGCAGTTGGAAAGAAAGTTGCAGCAGCCAGGACTCCATCAAGGGATCATATGGGATGCGGGTGTTCATATGGGGCAGCTTAACCTGCTGTGCACAATGGTGGCCTCTTCCTTTATACTTTAAATCATCTCTAGATTATGTAGAATAATAAGTGTGATGTAGGTGTTCAAAACAGCTGATAAAAAGTATCGTTTAGGGGGACATTATAAGAGGAAATGTCTAAGACAGTCATCCTAGATAACAGTGAAGACGAGAATAGTGATGTCTACATCCCATGTCAGTGCCATGGTTCAAATCCCATCCACATTGCCAATTCCAGCTTTCTGCTAAAGCACACCCTGGGAGGTAGCAGGTGATGGCTCAAATGATTGGGTCCTTGGGAGACCTGGATTGACTTTCCAGCTCCTGGCGTCACCCTGGTTCAGGGCAGCACAATGCAGGCATTTTGGGAGTGAGCCAGCAGATGGGAGAGGCCTCTGTCTCTCTACCTTTCATACAAATAAAATAAGATGGACTGTCTGCTGTTCAAATAGTAAATAAATTTTCAAAAATAAATGTTTAACAAGGAAAACATTGGTACATGTTCAACACAGACACAATATGTTCTTTAAGATTAATGTATGACATTGAAAGACATTGTGCCAAAGACAGCAAGCGACCAACAGTCTTCCATCCATTGGTCTACTCCCAAAATGGTCACAGCGGCTTGGCTAGGGCAGGGCAAACCCAGGAGCCAGGATCTGCCTGGGTCTCCCATGTGTGTGACAGAGGGTCAAGCACGTGGGCCATCTTTTACTGCTTTCCCAGGCACATTATCAGGCAACCGGATCAGAAGTGCAGCACCCAGGACTCAAACCTGGGCTCTGATGTGCGACGCCAGCTATAGAGGTGGGAGCTAGCCCATAGCGTCACAACACCAGCCCTGTGATTTTTTTTAACACCTTGACACACAGTGGATTGATTCCTTGGAAGTATGTGGACTCCCCTGATGCCACAGGCCAATGGTACAGTCACACACACACACACACACACACACACACACACACTGTGTTCATGGCCAATCACTCTGTTCTTTGATACACTCAGGAGTGCACACACAATTCAGAAACAGAGAGGCCGCCCCAGCCCTCGTGGAATTCACAGCCCAGGAGCGGGGAGGCAACTCAGACCCCGAGTGCTTCAGAACATTCGGCAGGCCCTGCGTTGTGCTGAACCAGGCGAGCTGCCACTCACCACCACGGGACATCCCACACCGGAGTGCCTACTTAAAGTCCCCGCCCCTCCACGCGTGTGACCCAGGCTCCTGCGGATGCTCCTGGCAGGCAGCAGATGGTGTCCCAAGGGCTTGGGTTCCTGCCACCCACAGGGGGAGGCTCCGATTGAGTTCTCAGCTCCTAGCATCCACCTGGGCCAGCCTGGGCCACCATTGTGGATGTTTGTGGGGGGGGGGGGGTGAAATAGTAGTTGAAAGAGCTCTCTGTGTCTACATATCCCTACATGCCTTTCCAATGAAAATAAAAATAAATATAAACATGTCAAGTAAAACTAGAAGGGGGGAGGTACAGAATGCAAAAGATGTGATTACAAAATCAGGCTCTGAGAGGTGCTACATGGCCGGTTTTGAAGACAAAGGAAGGGGTCATGGCCAAGGAACACAAGCAGTGAAAAGACAAAGACGCAGGTTCTCTCCCAAAGCCTCCGGAAGGCACCCAGCCCTGTCCACACTTCCGTGCCAGCCCAGTGCAATCCATGCTCAACTGCTGACCTACAGAACTGGGAGACCATGGATTTCTGCTGTTTTGAGCAGCTCAGTTTATGGTCATTTGTTACTAAGACAGCATCTGTAGCTGTGCCAATGACCCAGGTCCCTGCATCCAAGTTCACACTGGGACAGGAGCACTGCAGGGCTGGGACACTGACCTGTGCGTTGACCAGCCGGATGAGCTTGTCGAGGTTCTTGAACCACATGTCTGCGTTCTCATAATAGAAGTCACCACCCATGGTCATCACGGTGTGCTTGGTGCGGTAGGACCGGTGCTGCAGGGCAAAGGCAGTGCTCAGGTCCCTTTGTCCTGGCCACCGCTGTGTCTATTTATGTCTTTGTATACAACAAGGATGCTTCAACATATCATGGTAAATAGAACTGAAAAGTAAAAATTATTTTGGTGCCAAATGTACAGAAATCATGTCTAATGTTTCCAAAATACATATTTTCATGAGCTTTTTTGAAGACCCCTCATGTGTGGTCAGGAATGTCAATGTGGGGTGTGCACTTGGTGCAGGAGTTCAGAGACTCCCTTGGGATGACAAATCCCATATTGGAGTGTCTGGGTTCAGATCTCAGCTCTACTCCTGATTCCAGGTATCTGGCATATACATCCCAGGAGGCAGGAGTTGATGGTGCAGGCACTTGCATGCCTTTCACCTACAAAGCAGATAGGCTTGATGTGAATGGAAGGGGAGAGGGAGTGGGAAAGGGGAGGGTGGTGGGTGGGAGGGACGGTATGGGGGGGAAAGCCATTGTAACCCATGAGACGTACTTTGGAAATTTATATTCATTAAATAAAAGATAAAAAAAAAAAAAAAAAAAAAAAAAAAAAAAAAGCAGATAGGGACGCAATTCTGCACTCCTTTCTTCAGCCTGGCCTGACCTAGTTGTTTCAAGCATTTGGGGAGGAAACCAACAAATAGAAGGTCAATTGATCTCTCTCTCTCTTCTCTCTCCTTCTCTCCCTCCTATCTCTATCTCTCAAGCATTCAGCCTCACAGTAACCAAATAAAAAGTATATAAATCATTTTTCAAGAATGCTTTCAATGAAAACTAAATTTATTTTGACTCTAAAAAATTTGAAATCCATACAGTGTTTTTTCAATATGCATCTCTAGGAACCTATAGAGGACCCCTTATGGTGCATGATGGCACACAGACACACGAAGAGCCACAGGCTGGTGAGCGGTTCTCCTGGGAGTGCCACATGGATGAGGACACTGGTTCCCATGGCTACGCTGTCCCTGCATGGGTCAATGAGGAATGCATGCAAATCTACTGTGGGACATGGAGACCATGACTGGAACAGTACATTCCCCCAAGGGCTATGAGAAGGCTTTAGGCATCGAATGGGCCGTAGAAGAGGCTGTTTCCCATGTGCACCTCAGTCCCACAGGCTATGAACACCCAGTTACCTGGGTAGTGGCCAAGTTGAGGAAGTAATCAACCAGTTCCTTGGAGCTGTGCTCAGGGCTGTTGGGGTTGTCCACCACAGGCTTGTCATCACATAACCTATCCCAGCACAGATACCTCGGGGGGTCGTAAACATTTGGGAGCACACCTGTGGGCCACATCAGTCTCAAGAGAATAGCCCAGCTCCCCAGACGTGCCCTAAGATCAAAGCTAGCCATACCTCCCCCAAGGAGGGCTTCAGAACTTGTAGGATCCAAAGCAAAAGGAAAATTCTAGGCTCTTGTTCACAAACATTAAGAATTTGAAGACGCAGACAGCAGAGCACTAAATCAAGACCAAGGAGGCCTGTGGAGCTTGGGGCCAATAAGTCTAAGGCCAGTGTGATCGTGGGGCCCTGGGTGACTGATCAGGTCACCCATAGCCTCACCAGTGAAGAGGTCGGCGGTCGGGGGCTGCAGGCTGGCACTGGCCCGCCACACCAGCTCCAGCTCCCGCTTTATCTTCCGCAGCTCTTTGTCTTGGTAATCCACACGTCCCAAGAAGATGCCATCAAAGCCCATCTAGGGGTGTAGCAGGATGGGGCACTGGGAATTAGTACCCAGTCCTCCACCATCAAGCTCCCTTTGGCTTGGGAGAGGCAGGCAGAACACGGGTAGTAATCGAGTTTCTTTAAAAGCTTTGGGATGAGTGTGACACCCACCACCATCAAGCTCCCTTTGGCTTCGGAGAGACAGGCAGAATACAGGAAGACGAATGTGGCTGAAACTAGGGTTAATTCCCAAATTTGGGGAGGGGTCAGAGAGCACCACATGACCTTGGGGAGGAGGCGGGGCCAAACTCAGAATCCATCTCCACCTGCCCAGAAATGTCAAGGTCATGAGGAAACTGACCCATGTGTAATCTGAGGGTGTTTGTGCCAGAAACAACCAATGGAGGTGGGTTTAAAGCACCCTAGGCCGCCACCTGCCACTCAGCTTGGGAAAGAGCCAGGATCCTAGCATGTGGGCGGGGCCAGAGCACGGAGAGGAGAAAGGAGAGAGAGCAGAGTCCATAAAAGGGGTTCACTCTTGGGGTCAGACCTGGCAGGGGTCACAACTGGCCAAGGGCTGGTCAGTGGCGAGGGAGGAGTCAGAGCGAGTGAAAGGGTGCATCCAGAGAGGACCACACAGCACCTGCGCAAAGAGCGAAGCCTGTTCCCGAGAGTGCCCAAAGGGGTCGATGTGCCAGGCCACACGGGGGCGCCCGTCGTCGCCGAACGTGTCCCGCAGGAAGCGCAGCCCCAGCGTCATCTGGTCCACGATGGCGCCATAGTGGGTGGCCGCCTCGTCGTTCATCACCCAGCCACCGTTGGCAAACTCCAGGCGCCCTGCGCGGGATGGGGCAGGGGCGGGGTCAAGGGCAGGGACCTGGTCCAGGGAGAGTGGTGCTGGGATGAGAGGAGAAAGGCGTTCACTCCCCGTCTCAGAAGCCAGGGTTACAGGAGGAAGCTGAGCCGGGCTTCCATTTCCCGTCCTTGGGGCAGGCTCACCCTGGCGCACCAGCTCCCGCACGGCTTGCTGGGTTGCGTTCGTCTGCTGGTGCCACCAACGGGAGAAGAAGGCCATCTCCACGTAGACGAACCTGCGGCTGGGCTCTGCCCGCAGGGCGGAAATGACCGAGTCCAGGATGTACTGCACAGCCCCGTGGTGGAGCTCATTCCGAACTGTGGACACAAGAGTTGGGCACTCAGGGACCAGGAGAGCCAGGCGGACCCTCCTCCACACAGGAGCCCAGGCCAGGCATTGCCCCCACCCTGCTGTCCAGGGCTCAGAAGGGGTTGGAGGCCCAGGATGGGTGTCTGGGGCCACGCCCACCGAGTGCTTACCCCCATAGTAGTACTGGTCCACTGTCTTGACCCAGCCCACATCATTATGTGTGTGGGGCAGCAGGTGAACGTTCAGCATGTCCGGCTGCACCGTGGGGCATGTCTGCACGGGGACCCAACACACACACACACACACACACAGATCAGTACCCCAGGGCAAAGAGGTGGAGAGGGGGGAGGGCCCAGCTCAGGGGACAGCATGATAGACACTGGGGTGTGGTGGGGAGGCCAGGCCCTCCCAGGCAGGACACACGCATCGCGGTGCTCACATGCACAGCTCCCACCCCGCACAGCCCCTAGCGCGGCTCTCCCTCTCGCCCTGGGAAAATCATCAGAGCCCTGGCTGAGGTGCATTCTGCCCCACACACAGCTGACCTGCGGGCATCCTGGGGCACACAGAGGGCAGTGACCTGGGCAAGGGGGCCTCAGGGAGTGGAGGAGCCAGGGTGGACTTCACAGAGGCGGCGTTCACAGCCCCGGTTCTCTCTGAGCACCCTCCCCCCCAACACATATACACCACATCTCCCATTCCCACACAGTCCTCCAATCACAGGCTAGGACATACAAAGGCCAGCAGTTTGTAGACACAGGGGGGACAGAGACCACCCCACCCCTTCATGAATGCCAGCCTGCACTCAGACTCCACTGTGCGGTCAGCAGCCATTCAGAGGTCCACACCCGCGGCCCCTCCTCTCCCTGGCCGGCTTTCGATTCATCCCAGGGATTCGCTCACCTGGTATCCTGCAGCGTGTGTGCTGTGCGCTGCCCTGAACAGCAGAAAGAGCAAAGACAGAGGCGGGACTGGTATCCACCAGGCTCGCCCCATGTCCTCGCAGCCCCCAGTGTGGGTTCCCGAAGCCTCTGCAATGGCAGTCATGACTCCAGTGCTCCTGACCCTGCACAGCCACCACCGGGACTGCAGGAGGGTTCCTGGCCCCACCCCCAGAACCAGACCTGGCCAATCAGCACCAGGGGGGTGGGACTCAAGTCTGGCCAGCAGCCACAAGGAGTGTGGCTGTAGTGCTGCGTCAGCCTGGCTTCCTTGAACGCAGTGGACCATGGTCCTGGGATGGCCCAGGGGTGCCTTCAGCCTCTCGCCACCCCTCTGGGGGCCTGGGAACGACTCTATGCCCTTGAGAGAGGAGGTCTCAGCTCTCCCTGTGGATGCCCGATGTTCCAAGTGGGTATGGCTGGATTCTAGCGGGTCTCATCGACCATCAGGGAGGGACTTCAGAGGGACCGAGCTGGGCTTGGAGCAGGGTCGATGAGGGCGTGGGGATCAGGCCACTGGGACAACAAAGTGTCCTGTGGCTTCCAGGTCCCACCAGTCCAGCCAGGTCCTCATCTCTCTACTAAGAAAACCAAAGCCCAGACTCCTTAGTGGTTGAAAATCGGTATCTCTCTCCCTCCAACCCTCTCTCATCTTACAAGTAAACAATTTAAAAACATGTTTTAGAGGGATGCTTCTATGGACAGTTCCCAGGCTGCACTGTGACTGGGTGACAACGCCCTTCTTGGTTTTCACGTCTGACCCAGGCCAGACCCTGGCTCCCTCAGTGGTCACGGAAACCTCAGGATGCCCTCTCACACTGGGACCCTCTGGGAGTCTCGGTGTCCAGCTCCCATCAATGCTTCCTTTGCAAGGGTCCTGAATACATTCCCAGGAGTCACCAGCAGGTGGAGCCAATCCCAGGACTCATGCAGAGCCTTAGCCAGGCCCCGGTAGCCACTCTGAGTCTCTGACCAGCCCAAGCCTGTCACAGGGAGGCCTCAAAGGCACCCATGGTGTTGGATTCAGGGGTCAGACCCAATAGTAGGAGATCAAAGGATGACCCAGGGCAGCTCCATGGGTCATCTTGGCTTCCCTAGGCCAGTGCCCGCCTGTGGGACCACAGCAGCTACATTTTCCATAGGTTCATGTACAACCACGTCCAACGAGCACTCCTGCACACTCAGAAATCTGGACAACTTGGGTTGCACCATATATGATGGTGAGCTTTATCTTGTTTGTGATCAGATCGTCATTACTAACAAGAACACCTCTAACAAGTCCAGGATGTCCACTCTCACCTCCATCAGCCACAAAGGGCCTGGTCGAGGGTATGTTGATGGAGGGGATGTCACTCCCTTTCTACTCTGAACCTCAGCTTAAATCACAGCATCTCCTTGGTGACAGACACCAGAACACGCCAGAAGTGTACATTACGCCAACCTCTGGGCCTCTGCCTCCTGGGAAGCCCACAGCTGTCTGAGGCCTCCTCACCGGCACCTGCCACGGGTTCAACCTCCTGCTCCAGGACCTCCCCCGACTCCTCCCCCAAGGCCAGCTCAGGAAGGGTCTGGGTTCCCTGAGCCCAGGCCCAGCACAGGCCCTCCTTTGGCAGCTGCTTAAGACGGCTCTACCAGGGCCTACGAGCAGGGAGAAACAAAACAAGAGGTAGGAAAGGGGAGATGGGTGTGGCTGGGTGCTGCAGACACAAGGTCTGGTATGAGCATTGGCTAGGAAGGGACCTCCCTGCAAAAGGCTCGGCTGGGTGGGGGGAAGAGCCTTATGGTGCAGGGGATAAAGCTGCTGTTTTCTAGGCTGGTGGCTTGAGTCCTCAATGATCCACTTCTGGTGGTGCTCACTGCTAATGCACCTAGGAGAATAGCACAGGATGGCCCAAGTGCCTGGGCTCCTGCACACACCATCACAGACCTGCATGGAATTCCATTTTCCCCTACTCAAGAAGATGTGCTCTAGGGATTGCATAATGAATTATAAGTGGCTTAGTGGCAATAATAGTAAGGAAAGCAAGAAAGAAGAATCAGAAGTAGATTATACACTATAATATCTCAGAAAGCAATGGAAACACAGAAGGATGTGGGAAAGGTAAGTATATCTCAGGCAATGTTGTGTATGGATTGTTGAGTTCTATGTCTTTTATACACAAAATTTGTCCAACATCCAAATTCATAGTAGAGTATCTTAGCAAGACTCGCACAAATATTGTGATTAATGTTTGGTGTAAGGTAATGACTACGTGGAAGGATTTGTTCCACTGCTTCCTGTGGAAGATGTCCAGTGGCTGGTCTCAGGAAATCAGCTCCAGCACTCAAGTGTTCTACTCCCATACAGTCATTCCAGAGGAAGGTTTCCATCAGGCACAAAGTATAATTGTTAATTATCCTACAATCATGTGAGATCGTGACACTGATATTTTGTTTACAGTTTCTGTCTGGACAGAAGGTGTAATTATTACCCATTAAGATCAGCATGACGTATATCAGGATCAATATTGATATCAGAGTTGTGGGTACAGAAAGTAATACCTGAAGGGGCTCAGAGTCTATAAAGGAAAGGACAGAAAGGGAACAAGCCAATCTGACACAGAAGCTCTGGCTACGTTTCCCTCGATGTACGTATTACTTACCATGGTAGGTGGAGTCTTCACTATAAATCTGTTCAGTAGCACTAGGATGATAGCTGGCTATTCAGTCTGGCTCTGTTACTATTGCTTTTTTACATTTCCCACTTGTAATATTGTTGTGAAGGTTTAAACCAGGCTAATATTGCCATATTTTAGTGAGGCACTTGTTTCTTTTTGCTTAAGAGATTGAGATGTTTGTTCTATAACCCTAGGTTGCAAAACTGCCATCTTGTGAAGTGCATTGTTTGCCACAGATAAGAAAGCCATCACCCAGGCTTTCTTAGGAGAGCCACCCAAGTATCCTGGCACTGCACAACACTGTGTGTTCCACCAAGCACACCGAGCACGCCAAGTGCACTAAGTCGTCTTGAGCTCATGCTATGCTTCCAAAAGTATAAAACTTGCTCCAACTTAGGTTTAAGTGATCGTTAAACTTAGGTTTAAGTGGATCTGACTGGTGGAGTATTTTTAGGTTGTAGTCTTCTAGCACTAAAAGTAAATCTTGTAGTGCCTTGTAGATCTTCAGCTAATGTAAGTGTCTAAATGTAAAAGCAAATGTGGGCCGGCGCGGCTCAATAGGCTAATCCTCCACCTAGTGGCGCCGGCACACCGGGTTCTAGTCCCGGTCGGGGCACCGGATTCTTTCCCGGTTGCCCCTCTTCCAGGCCAGCTCTCTGCTGTGGCCCGGGAAGGCAGTGGAGGATGGCCCAAGTGCTTGGGCCCTGCACCCCATGGGAGACCAGGAGAAGCACCTGGCTCCTGGCTTTGGGTCAGCGTGGTGCGCCGATCAGAGCGCACCAGCCGTGGTGGCCATTGGAGGGTGAACCAACAGCAAAAGGAAGACCTTTCTCTCTGTCTCTCTCTCTCACTGTCCACTCTGCCTGTCAAAAAAAAAAAAAAAAAAAAAAAAAAAAAAAAAGCAAATGTGTTCTCTCTGGTAAGACAGAAGAGAAGTGTTCTTTAAGGGTAGGGTGCACAGCTAGTTATAAAAATCATAACTAATAATATAACAATTTTAGGGAAAAGAAAAATAAAATTAGTCAGGGATGGTTCATTTTGGCTAACTGCGCTTTCCTATGCCTATTAACTGTCCAATAAATGTGCCTGTGTCCATCTCCTAAGAACCCCTGTGGAGACAGATTACTTCTGTGAGATTTTGCTATCCCCTTATAAGGTAATTTAGGGATTCTAGTGCTTTTTGGAGAATTGTCAATATTTGGTGCAGGGTTTAAATAGCTATGAGGTGACTGTTTATGGAATCTTTCTCTTTGATTTAAGTTAAACAGGCTAAGTCTAAAGCTTGCTGCAGACTAGGCTGTATATCTATCAACTGCAGTTCTCCTTTTACTCATTTAATCCTTCAATAAAACCTGATGAAGTTTGATTATAGGTCAAATGAAAATTCCATTGGATACCCAAAAGATCAATTATATATTGAATTCTTTTAGCAGTTCAGTGCGACTCTTGGACACTTACAACAATTTCTGGTGATCCATGATGGCTACACCAAGGTTAAATGGCTTTTCACATGCTTGATGCAGCTGTATCTTTAGAGCACACAGTCATTCCTATCCCTGAATAGATATCCACATGGGACAGTCATATTTTTTATAAGTCCCTAGGGCCAATAAAATCAATCTGACACATCAAATTAAATCTGGCAGATGTGTCAGGTTTCTAAGTAGCATGTGTTTCTCCAAATCTAAATTTAGCTGTAAAATGTTCACATTTTTCACAAGATCTCAACAGTATTCTCTGCCATAAAACCAGAACATTTTCTGAGTCTGCTTTTGAAAGCATTGATAACGGCTGTGTACACCTGCACATCCTGTGAGATGATGCACTTCCACCACAACTTTATCAGTTAATTCATAGGAATCTAACATTTTCTTCATATGTAATTTTGGAATGAGTCCAACTTTACCTGTATAAACATTATAGTCTTTACATGTAGAAGACAGGGGCCGGTGCTGTGGCACAGCAGGTTAACACCCTGGCATGAAGCACCAGCATCCTATAATGGTGCCGGTTCAAGACCCGGCTGCTCCACTTCCAATCCAGCTCTCTGCTATGGCCTGGGAAAGCAGCAGAAGATGGCCCAAGTGCTTGGGACCCTCCCTTTCCCTCTCCCTCTGCCTCTCTTCTCTCTGTGTAATGCTTTCAAATAAAAATAAAATATATCTTTAAAAGTAAATAAATGTAGAAGACAGTTTCCCTTTTTTGGTCTGTCTATAACTGATGGAACAATGTATGACTTAACTTGAATTAATCTGTTTTCCTACTTATTGTAATCTCCTCTGGAGTACTGCCATTTTGGTGTGTTAAGACATGGGTAACATACACTCTTATAAGACCTCTCAGCAAGTCTAGGTCTAGCCAGTAATCTCTGGACCAAATATCTTTACCATTCATTTTATAATCTGTCTTTCTCCATCTTCATGGCCTATTACACTGGCATCTGCCAATGCTCATGCATCAGTAAATAATCCAACTGTCTTTCGTTTCTTTTACAGAATGTCTTACTGCCAACACTGCAGCTATCAGTTCTGCGTATTGTGCCGATTCAGTCTTACCCGCTCTCTCAGGATGACAGACTGATGTCCCTACAGCTAGTGCTGTCCATTCCGTAGCACCTATAGCAATTGTGGCTGACCCATCTGAAAACCAACAACTCTGCAAGACTAGAGACCAGGCTGAGCCCCATTTCCTTTTAGGGGTATGGATTTGCTCCTCCCTCAGAATGTTTTTCAGCAAGCCTATGCCTTATGGGTTTCCTCTGTGAGGAACCCAGGTTGTCCCTGATGGCCATATCCCTTCTGAGATATACCATTCACAGGTCAACAACCGTTGGTCCATCAAGATCCCCACCACTTCTTCTGGTGTTATTGTGGTCCGACGTAGAAGAGGCACAGCAGTTTTGACAGCTATTTTAGTGTTACCAGTAAGAGATTCTGGTAATTATCAATGCATCATATATATATGATATATATATGTGTGTATATACATATATATATATATATATATATATATATATATATCATGTTCCTTTCTCAAAGTTTGTGTCTTTAACAGAAGAATATGGGAATTTTTTGGTCCAAAAACCACAAGGCTTAAATAATCTGTCACTCTGTTTCTTAGTCATAATGTAATGCCCATGTGACAGTATCACCCAATAGTACCAGATCTAGTCTCAAATCATCTCCCTTAGCTGGATAATTTAATTTTTGAAAAGTTATTACAGAATCCTTTAGTTGCTCAAAAGCAGTCTGTTGCTCCTTAGTCCATGCATTATTATATCATCTGTAGATGAAATGATGGTTGATCTATATTTTAAATCATCCCTGAGAACCCAATATTAAATGAGCCACAACATGAGTGTTTACATTTAAATAACTTTGGGTCAGAATGTTGCACGCATTCCCATGTAAATGTGATGTATTCTTTATTTAAAGGCATGGCAAAGAACATAACTGACATTTCAATCATTGTGAAAAATTTACTACTACTACTAGTTGTTTTATTAATAACTTCTTCCACCTCTGGCAAGGCTTCAGGCAGTTTTGGGCTGACTTGATTTAAACTTCTATGGCCTGCAGTCAATCTATATTGTCCACTTGGCTTGATAATTGGCCTTACTGGATGATTATGTAGGTGACTCCTCCCTTTTTCAATTATGCCATCTTTTTGTAACTCAAATATTTTTAAGTTATTTTCTGTGTCCTCCCTTCAAGGGACTTTGTTGAGTAAATGTAAACTTTAGTGGCTGTGGGCAGTTTTGCAGGAGTTATTTTGATTGATGCTAGTCTTTTCTTACATTAACTTCCTTTAACATTTATAATGGAATCAACTCCTTGAACAATATTGGAATTATGTTCATCTTCAGAATATTTTCTACTTACTCAGAGGTAAACACTTTATATCATATTAGATCACTATTATAGTTTAAAATTTATATGTTGGGGCCGGCGCTGTGGCACAATAGGTTAACGTCCTGGCCTGAAGCGCCAGCATCCCATATGGGCACCAGTTCTAGTCTCAGCTGCTCCTCTTCCAATCCAACTCTCTGCTATAGCCTGGGAAAGCAGTAGAAGATGGCCCAAGACCTTGGGCCCCTGCACCCACATGGGAGACCCGGAAGAAGCTCATGGCTCCTGGCTTCAGATTGGAGCAGCTCCAACTGTTGAGGCCATCTGGGGAGTGAACCATAGGACGGAAGACCTCTGTCTCTGCCTCTCCTCTCTCTGTGTAACTCTGACTTTCAAATAAATAAATAAATCTTTAAAAAAATTATATGTTAGTTTCATATGCTGGGATAGACTTGCTACATTTATTTTGTTTATGTTATCATTGTATGTCTTATTATCTATTTTCCTAAGTAAGCTGATTTGAGACCTGTTATTAAAAATTATGATACTTGATGTGCATTTTCCACATCACATAGAATCTTACGTATGGCCTAACATCTGATATTTTATACACAAGCGTTCTCTGAGTTTTCCTGTATGTAGTATTAACACCTGTTTCTCCCAGAGGTCTTCCTGAACATCACTTTTGCTTTTAAGAAAAAAATTTGAGTTCATTTTCTAACGTTGTGCTTCAATTTATCTCTCCTATACACTGGGTGCATGCATCAGTTATTGTTACAGTAAGTTTCCCTGAAAGGCACCTCTCTTACTGATATCCATAGCTCTTTTTTTTTTTTGACAGGCAGAGTGGACAGAGAGAGACAGAGAGAGAGAAAGGTCTTCCTTTTTACCATTGGTTCACCCTCCAATGGCCGCCGCGGCCGGCACGCTGTGGCCTGCGCACCGCGCTGATCCGATGGCAGGAGCCAGGTACTTATCCTGGTCTCCCATGGGGTGCAGGGCCCAAGCACCTGGGCCATCCTCCACTGCGCTCCTGGGCCGTAGCAGAGAGCTGGCCAGGAAGAGGGGCAACCGGGACAGAATCCGGCGCCCCGACCGGGACTAGAACCCGGTGTGCCGGTGCCGCAAGGCAGAGGATTAGCCTAGTGAGCCACGGCGCCAGCATCCATAGCTCTTATATTCTGTCTCCAACCAGGTCTAAAGCCTGTATTTCTAGCTCTATTCCTCTGCATCTTTGCTCTGGGTGTAAAAGTAGATCTGGCCACTGGGGTGCTTTTAGGTTGTAATTTTCTAGCATGAAAAGTAAATCTTGGAGCTGCCATCATAGCATAATTGGGTAGGCCACAGCCTACAATGCTGGCATCCCATAGAGGTGCTGGTTCAAGTCCCAGCTGCTCCACTTCCAATGCAGCTCCTTGATAACGTGCTTGGGGAAGCAGCAAAACCCAAGTTCTTGGCCCCGTGCACCCACATGGGAGACACAGATGAATTTCTTGGCTCCTGGCTTTGGCCTGGCCCAGCTCTGACCATTGCAGCCATTTGGGAATGAACCAGTGAATGGACAATCTCTTTCCTGCCCTCTTCTCTGTGACTCTATCTTTCAAATAAAATAAAAATTAATCTTTTTTAAAAAGAAAATCTTTTAGTGCCTTGTAGATCTCTAGCTAATATAAAGGTGTGTGTGTGTGTGTGTGTGTGTATATATATATATATATATATATATTATTTTTGGGGGTGCATTTCTCCAAAGAAGAGACACAGGTGGTCAATAAGTACATAAAAGATGCTCAGTATCACTAGTCAATAATAAACACCAAATGAAAACCACAATGAGATACTCAGCAAGATGGCTATTTTATTATAAAATAAAAAAGGTAATAACAAGTGTTGGTGAAGAAGTGGGAAAAACATCAAATGGTGGTGAGAACATCAAATGGTGGGGCTAGAGATATCATTACAGTTATATCCTCCAAGGTGTTGGCTTGAG